GGGTGTGGGGGTTGGGTGGGGGTCTCCCACCCGTGTCTGAGCTGTTAAAACAACATCCTTCTGTCTCCTGGTGCCGGGTGTTCGGAGCCCTGAGTCCTTCCAGCCTCCTCTGTGCCAAGTGTGTCGTGGAAACAACCCTCCTCCCCACCTCTGGCTGGACCCGCTGCTGTTTTTCTTCTCTTTCTCCCTGATTCCAGGCACCTGCAGTGAGGGGGGTGGTCTCCAGTGAAGCTCTGACACCTCCCAGCTCCCACCACCACCATCACACTTGAACAAGTCACTGTTTTTCTCCTTCAGCCTCCAGTTTCCTGGCCCTTCACGCCGTTTCTGATGTTGTTCTTGCAGGGGTGTCAACACTTTCTCTCCGGAGGGGAGGCTGTTCCAAGTGGAGTATGCCATCGAGGCCATCAAGGTAGGGTCAGCTCTGCCTGGTGGCCAATCCCTGACGTTTAGGCTTCTTTCAAACCCCTAAAAAATAGAAATAAAACGGGCAGATTGGCTTCCTTTGGGCTCTGGTCTCGCTCTGCAGCATCGTAGGAGGCACGTGTCCTGGTCCTCCAATTCCTTCCATCCAGCCAAACCTCCTGCAGCTCTGCTCTTTTATGGGTCCTGAAGAATCATAAAGCCACCCATTGCCCCCCCAGATAAAATCACAGAATGGTTTGGGTGGGAATCCCTTGAAGATCATCTCGTTGCCTTGAACAAGTCACTGTTTTTCTCCTTCAGCCTCCAGTTTCCTGGCCCTTCACGCCGTTTCTGATGTTGTTCTTGCAGGGGTGTCAACACTTTCTCTCCGGAGGGGAGGCTGTTCCAAGTGGAGTATGCCATCGAGGCCATCAAGGTAGGGTCAGCTCTGCCTGGTGGCCAATCCCTGACGTTTAGGCTTCTTTCAAACCCCTAAAAAATAGAAATAAAACGGGCAGATTGGCTTCCTTTGGGCTCTGGTCTCGCTCTGCAGCATCGTAGGAGGCACGTGTCCTGGTCCTCCAATTCCTTCCATCCAGCCAAACCTCCTGCAGCTCTGCTCTTTTATGGGTCCTGAAGAATCATAAAGCCACCCATTGCCCCCCCAGATAAAATCACAGAATGGTTTGGGTGGGAATCCCTTGAAGATCATCTCGTTCCCCCACCCCAGGTTGCTCCAAGCCCCCTCCAACCTGCCCTTGAACCCCTCCAGGGATGGGGCAGCCACAGCTTCTCGGGGCAACCTGGGCCAGGCTCTCACCACCCTCACACCAAAGGATTTCTGCCCCGCATCTCATCTCAATCTCCTAATTTTTGGTTTAAAACCCTTCCCCCTCGTCCTGTGGCTCCCCTCCCCAAATACCATCCCTGGAAGGATCTAAAAGCCGTTGCTGAGACTCTCTCAGCCCCCCCTCCCAGCAGAGGGGCTCCAGCCCCCCCAGCATCTCCGTGTCCCCCTCCAGCCCCACTCCAACAGCTCCATGTCCTTCCTGAGCTGAGGACTCCGGAGCTGGAGCCAGCATCTCCCCAGGACTCCGTGGTGTCAGGGATTCTTCCCTTCCCCGTCCCCTAAAAAGCAATTTACCCTCAAACCAAACCCAATCTGAAGCTGCTGAGCCCCAAATCTAAATTCTCTTCAACATCAGCTTTGAGCAGAGGTCCTGCCTGCCCAGACGTGGTGGCTCTGCCTGCAGAAGGTCACACTGCCAGGGCATCACACCCTTAATAGCCACAAACTCTTGTCTTAAGAGCAGAGGAGAGCTCTGCTTCCTCTTTGTCTGCACTAATGTGCTGTTCCCTTCTCATCCATGGGCTTTATAAATATTAAATTCCTTATTAAAACCCCCAAAGTGGTAACTTTTCTCTCACTAAATCAACTTTCCTGGTTGAGGGTCACCATTTCCTCAGGTCTATTCAATTTTAAAACCTGAAGGTGAAGGATGTTATTAAAGAGCAAACAAACCCACACCCCTCCAGAGCCCTGTGGCCTTTCTGGGGTTTTAAAATGTTCTTAATTGAGAAATGTTCTTGTTTCTGAGGATGTGGATTGGGAATAAGTTTAAACCTGGGGGAAACTGGTCGAGCGAAGAAGCCCTGTTTGGGCAGGGGGAAGGAGGTGCTGGTTTTCTCCTCCCTGTACTGGTTTAGCTCCTTGAAGGACTAGTTAAAGGAGGAGGCGAAGAGGAATAAAATCATCTGCCACCTTTTTGGCTTCTCCCTTTTTTATGGATCAGCCCGTGACCCCCCCCAAACACCCCCTTTCTGGATGAAATTCCTGCAGCTGGGTGGCTCCTGTGACACTTTCATGCCTTGGGGTGTAGGAGGAGTTTCTATTGGTGGGTCAGGAGCTTCGTTAACAAAACCCCATCTGAAATGACATCAGGTGTCCCCTCTTCCCTTGGGATTTGGGCTCAGCTGTGAGCTTCAAGGATGGGGACAAGGTCCAAAACCAGGAGATGTTCCCCTCTGCCAGGGGCTGTGGTTTGAGCTGGAGCTGCTGGGGGGAAACTCGTTAAGATGACACCGTGGGGTCTGATTTGGATGTTTCAGAGGTGGCATCTCCATTCCACAGCTGTTACAGTTATCCCAGGAAATTCCCAGAAAATTCCCCAGTGTGGAAAAGCCTCAAGTGCTGGGTGGGAGCCCTTGAGATCTGTCCCCCTTCCTCGGTGGCCCTCAGGGCTGTGGTGACACCGTGGTCTCCTCCAAGACTCGGGGTAAAACCCTCTGAGGTTGATGAACCTGGAAAACGGTTCGTGCACGAAGTTCCCTCCATTCCTTTGGGAATTTTGGGGAATTTGGGGAGAAGTGGAGCCGATGGAAAGAAAACTCATCCAGCTGGAAGCGTGGATGCAGTCGGAATCCAGCCCTTTGTGTCAAATTTTTCTCTCTATGCTTTTCAAATTTAATTTCTCTCATGAAGGAAGGTTGGCGAGGCCAATGAGGGTTGCAGGGGGGGAAGAGGGGGCAAATCCTTCTCTCTATGCTTTTCAAATTTAATTTCTCTCGTGAAGGAAGGTTGGTGAGGCCAATGAGGATTGCAGGAGGGGGAAGGGGGGTGTTAATTAGCCTTAACGAGGTGTGGTGGTAACTGCCTGGTGGGTTTTGCAGCTCGGTTCCACCGCCATCGGGATCCAGACCTCGGAGGGCGTCTGCTTGGCCGTGGAGAAGAGGATCACCTCCCCCCTCATGGAGCCCAGCAGCATTGAGAAGATCGTGGAGATCGACTCCCACATCGGTGAGGAGAGAAAAAATTGAGCTTTGAGTGCCTCTTTAGGAGCATCCTGCAAGTTTTGGAGATATATATCTATTTATATATAAAATAACTGCCCTCTGGGTGCGTGGAAAGCAGCATTTCAGGGGTAACCATCCCCTGATGAGCCCAGTAAGAACTCTTCCCCCCTTCCCCAGTGAGCACGAGCTCCTGGTTACTGGTTTTCCAGGCTCCAGGCCAGCAGGGACATAATTACAGGAGCAGGAAGAGGCAGCTGAAGCACCCCCCACCCCCCTCCCCTCCCCTCTCATGGAACTCAGCAGCATCCAGAAGATCGTGGAGATCGACTCCCACATCGGTGAGGAGAAAAAAAATTGAGCTTGGGGTGTCCCTTTAGGAGCATCCTGCAAGTTTAGGAGATATATATATATCTATATATAAAATAACTGCCCTCTGGGAGCGTGGAAAGCAACATTTCAGGGGTAACCACCCCCCAGGCAGCTCTGATGAGCCCTGCAAGAACTTCTCCCCCCTTCCCCAGTGAGCACCAGCTCCTGGTCACTGGTTTTCCAGGCTCCAGGCCAGCTCGCGGAGATCGACTCCCACATTGGTGAGGAGAAAAAAAATTGAGCTTGGGGTGTCCCTTTAGGAGCATCCTGCAAGTTTTGAACATATATATCTATTTATATATAAAATAACTGCCCTCTGGGAGCGTGGAAAGTGGCGTTTCAGGGGTAACCACCCCCCAGGCAGCTCTGAGGAGCCCTGCAAGAACTTTCCCTCCTTCCCCAGTGAGCACCAGCTCCTGGTCACTGGTTTTCCAGGCTCCAGGCCAGCAGGGACACAGTTACAGGAGCAGGAAGAGGCAGCTGAAGCACCCCCCACCCCCCTCCCGCCTCTCCCCCAGCCTGGGTGACCTCTCTGGTGAAAGCTCATCCCAAATTTAGACCCGGGAGGGCAGGGAATTACTGCAAAAGGCTTTGACTCGGGGCCAGTTTCTCCGGCAGCGCCGACACCAGCCCGTAGCCCCGGCTCTCACCGAGCACCTCCTGCCCTGGGACGGGGCTCATGACCAAATATGTCGCCTTGAAAAGCAGGGGAACTCCAAAATACCCTGAATGTGGGTCACAGGAGCTCCTGAAGAGTCTAAATTTCCTCCTCCTCCTCCCCTGTGCCTCTGATCCAACCCCTTCTCGTCCTGGAGTGGGATCCGTGCTGGAGGTTCCTGCTGCATCCCTCCCCCAGGGATGGTTTAGGTGGTCCTCCCCATCATGGGGAGGTGAATGAGCTCCCCTTCCAAGCAGATGGTGTTTCTGTCTGTGAATTTTTCTTGGAAAACCTCAAATATCCCTCCTTTAACCCATTCAGGGTGGGTGGGAGGTGCCACGGGGGGAACTACCTGCCCTTCAGCTGGGTTTTGTGGTGGTTTGGGCTGAGCTGGTCCCTCAAATGAAGGCTCCATCCTTGTTCTCGAGCCAAATCCGTGTCCATCCCACCCTCTGGTGTGACACCACCGTGGGGACCTGCTCTGTGGGCTTTAGGATGTCACCTTGTGGGTTTTGGGAGGAGCACGTGGCCAATAAATGGGTGAAATAACTCCTTTTTCCCCCCTCTCCAATTCCAGGGTGCGCCATGAGCGGCTTAATAGCCGATGCGAAGACTTTAATCGATAAAGCAAGAGTGGAGACTCAGGTGAGACGGGACATTTCTCTTCTCCAAACAGCACCAGTTGGTCTCGGGGGTCTCAGGAGCCACCAGCAGAGGAGGGTGGTGGCAGAGAAGGTGCTGGAGTGGAGCAGGAGGGTTGTGGGGCGCGTGGGTTCCCTCTTAGGGCTTTTCTGAACAAAGAGATGGAGACTCGGGGCTGTTTTTCCTCTTTGCCACCAGGAATTTTGGTGGTGGGTTCTCCCGGGGTCTCTCAGGGCTCTGGTGAAGGTGTGGGGCTGGTGTCTGCATCTTGACAAAACTTATATTGGTTCTATTTTTGACCCTTCAAACTTCCTCAGTGCCTTGGGTGCTCTCTGCGCTGGAGTAAAGACCTTCTGTGGAGTTTCCCTGTGTGGCAGGATCTCCTGCCTCTGACCCATCACTAACCCATGTCTCCAAGCTCTACGTCAACCCGGCTTTGAAGTCCCACCAGGGATGGTGGCTCTGAACCATCAACCTAATTCTGATAAAACCCATCGCTAAACCTTGTCTCCAAGCTCTATGTCAACCCAGCTTTGAAGTCCCACCAGGGATGGTGGCTCCACCATGTCCCTGGGCAGCCCATTCCAAGGCTTAAGAACCCTTTCTGTGGAAAAATTGTTCCTCATCTCCAATCTGAACCTCCCCTGGGGCAACTTGAGGCCGTTTCCATGTCCCATGGCCTGTTCCTTGGGAGAAGAGACCGACCCCCCCTGGCTACACCCTCCTTTCAGGGAGTTGGAGAGAGAGAGGAGGTCTCCCCTCAGCCTCCTTTTCTCCAGCTTGAACACCCCCAGCTCCCTCACAAGTTCTCCAGCCCCTTCTCCTTGTTCTCCAGACCCCTCACCAGCTCCGTTGCCCTTCTCTGGGGCCCTCAATGTCTTTTTTTGTGATGAGGGGCCCAAAACTGGACCCAGCCCTCGAGGTGGGGCCTCGCCAGTGCCCAGTCCAGGGGGACCATCACCTCCTGAGTCCTCCTCCCCACGCTGTTCCTGATCTAAGCCAGGATGCTGTTGGCCTTCTGGGCCACCTGGGCACACTGCTGGCTCCTGTTCAGCCAAGGGTTGACCAACACCCCCAGGTCCTTTTCCACCAGGCAGCTCCAGCCACTCTGCCCCCAGCCTGGAGCATCCATGGGGTTGGTGTGACCCACGGGCAGAACCTGGCACTTGACCTGGTTGAACCTCATCCCGTTGGCCTTGACCCAGACCAGGATGTTGGTGGCCTTTTGGGATAATCCCATCATTTCAGAAACAGATACTGGGATGAAGTGCTCCAGCCTTGAGTTTTCCCTCTTGGTATCCCAAGGTTTTTAGGGGGGGGATCCCTGGAGAAACTTCCCAGTTTGTCCTCCACATCCCGCTCTCTTCCTGGTGCCACCAACCTGCCTGGAGATGTGTGGCTCCTCAGGGCATCGCTCCTGAACGAGCCGGGATTGTGGTGTTTTGGGACCAGGGTGATCATTGGAATCTTTTTTTTTATTTTAATTATTATTTATTGATTCTTTTTCCCTGCAGAATCACTGGTTCACCTACAACGAGACCATGACGGTGGAGAGCGTGACACAAGCCGTCTCCAACCTGGCGCTGCAGTTTGGGGAGGAGGACGCCGACCCCGGGGCCATGGTGTGGAGCTTGGGGGGAGGGATTTGGGGGGAGGTGGGGGGTGGAAAATGCTCTTGACCCCCCCTCTGAGCCGTTGTCTCCTCTCCCTTGCAGTCCCGTCCCTTCGGTGTGGCGCTGCTTTTTGGAGGAGTTGATGAGAAGGGACCTCAGCTGTAAGTTCTGACTCCTTTTAATCCAGTCCAGCTCTGGGGAAATGGGGGGAAAAAAACCCCAAAACCAAACCTCACTACAACTTTTTGGGGCGTTTTAACTTGATTCTGGGCTTTTCCTGAAGCCAAACACTCGGGGTTTATCCCGTTACATCCCTGATGCTTTTAATCCTTTCAAACCCTTCCAGCGTGAGCTGCTCCTTCGGCGTCAAAGAAAACCTCATTTCTTCACCGAATTTTTGCTTTTTCAACCTGGTTTCCTGGGCAGGAGGGAAACTTTAAAGCTCTCTCCTCCTCCTGAGTTTATTCTTGCCTTTCCCTAAAGGACTAGCAGAGCCACCCGTAACATAATCCACCCGGAGCTGGCTGTGACATTCCTCGGGGAGGTGGTTGGAGTGTCCGTAACCTGAACTCCTGGGCTTCAAAAAGCTGGCTGGGGCTGGGAAGGGTTCAGCAGAACCAGCCCGATAAGGTCTTCCCTCCCAGCAGAAGTAGGAAAAAAATTAAAAAAAAATTAAAAAATTAAAAAAAAATGAGGCAAGGTGGAAAATAAAAAAGGGAAATGATTGTTTTCGGAGCGTGGAGGGTGGTGGCAGGAGTTTATCGCTCTTCTCGGGTGTGAGGGAGGAGGGTGAACATGGTGAGGGGATGGACAAGTCATGGCTGGTTGAGAAGGACAAGGAACTGCTGGAGAGGGGACAGCAGAGGCTACAAGGATGATGAAGGGGTGAGGGACCTGGAGCATCTCTCTGATGAGGAGAGGCTGAGGGACTTGGGGCTTTTGAGGCTGGAGGCTTTTTTCAGTGGTGCCCAAGGACAGGACAAGAGGAAATGGGCACAAACTTGAATATAAGAAGTTCCACGAGGAGGAACTTCTTGACTTTGAGGGTGGCAGAGCCCTGGAAGAGGCTGCCCAGAGAGGTGTGGAGTCTCCTTCTCTGGAGACATTCAAACCCATCTGGACGTGTTCTGGTGGGACCTCTCTGGGTGGGTGATCTCCAAAGGTCCCTTCCAACCCCCATAGAGTTGTGTGATTCTGTCACCAGGAGCCTTCTTTCTTCCCTGGGAGCTGTGGGGCACCCTTGGGGTGCTGTGATGTGGGATGGGGAGCAGCAGATGGTGATTCTCCCCACCCTGTCCCTTCAGGTTTCACATGGACCCCTCGGGGACCTTCGTCCAGTGCGATGCCAGAGCCATCGGCTCCGCGTCGGAAGGTGCCCAGAGCTCTCTGCAGGAGGTTTACCATAAGGTAAAAAAAAAAAAAAGGCTGGATTTGGGGCTTGAGATGGCAAAAGTTAGAGGTGGGTGAGGAATCACAAGGATCCACTCATTCCCTTCCTGGTAATTCCTGTTCCTCTGAGTGATCCGTGACTCCTCCTGCGCCGCAGACGGGGAGGGGGGAAACGTGAGCCCCCACTTAGACGTCGGTGCTGAGTGAGCATCTGGGCCAGGATCTTCTCCAAGAGAAGTGTCACCACCAGCAGCTTCTCAGGGACACGAAGCTGGTGTCTGAGCCACTGCTCTCTGCCTCTGGCAGGTGATAATTAAGACCACGTCAAGAAGTTGCTCTATAAATAAAAATAATGCTGGCGTCGGGGCTCGGTGTGGCACAGGCAGAGCTAAAGCAAGGGCTTTTTCACCAAATCCCTTAAACCAGTGAAGTTGATGGCTTTTGCTCTGGGAATACTGGTCCTGTTGGACATTAAATACGAATTTTCTTCCCTCCTCGAGGAGGGAGCTGCCCCTTTTTGTCCCTTCATCACCAAACTGGGGGATGAAAAGCTCAAGGGATGGTGTCGATTGCTGTGGGGGCTTCCAGCCCCTCTGAGTTGGAAGCCTGAGACCAGTGGTGTCCCCCCAGGGGTCCAGTGCTGGTCAACATGTTCATCAGTGACCTGGAGGAGGGGACAGAGTGTCCCCTCAGCAAGTTGGCTGATGGTACCAAACTGGGAGGACTGGTCGACACTCCAAAGGGCTGGGCCACCATCCAGTGTGACCTGGCCAGGCTGGAGAGCTGGGCAAGGAAGAACCTCATGAGGTTCAACAGAGAAAAGTGTAGGGTCCTGCACGTGGGGAGGAAGAATGTCAGGCACCAGTACAGGTTAGGGGTGGACCTGCTGGAGGCAACTACTGAAGAGAAAGATCTAGGGGTCCTGGTGGACAGTAAAATGACAATGAACAAGCTCTTGTGGCCAAGAGGCCAATGGGATCCTGGGCTGTGTAGGGAAGAGTGTGGCCAGGAGGTGGAGGGATCTCCCCCTCTGCTCAAGGCCAAGTGTAGGGTCCTGCCCCTGGGGAGGAAGAACCCCAGGCACCAGTAGAGGTTGGGGGGGGACCTGGTGGAAAGCACTTCTGAGGAGAAGGATCTGGGGGTCCTGGTGGATGGGAAACTGTCCAGGAGTCAGCAATGTGCCCTGAGGGGAGACCTTCTTAAATATCTAAAGGGTGGGTTGAAGGAGGATGGAGCCAGACTCTTTCCAGTGGTTCCCAGTGACAGGACGAGGGGCAACGGGCACAACTGGAAGGTAGGAAGTTCTGCTTAAATCTGAGGAAGAACTTCTTGACTTTGAGGGTGGCAGAGCCCTGGCAGAGGCTGCCCAGGGAGGGTGTGGAGTCCCCTTCTTTGGAGATCTTCAAGCCCCACCTGGATGCTCCTGAATAACATGCTCTGAGAAGCTCTAGGCAATCCTGCTTCAGCAGGAGAGTTGGACTGGATGATCTCTATGGTCCCTTCCAACTCTAAAAAAATTCAGTGAAAGTAGTGATTCGTAGACAGAAACTGGTGAAAAGAAATGGACCCTCAGCCCTGCCTGAGGTTTCTGTGCCCGGATTAACAGCTCTTAAGCTTTGTAAAAAGTTTAGAGAGAAGCAGAAAGGGACCCTCCTTGGTGATTGTCAACCAAGGGCGCGCTTTGATCTCCTGTTGATGCTGTGCTCTGAGAAGCTCTAGGCAATCCTGCTTCAGCAGGAGAGTTGGACTGGATGATCTCTATGGTCCCTTCCAACTCTAAAAAAATTCAGTGAAAGTAGTGATTCGTAGACAGAAACTGGTGAAAAGAAATGGACCCTCAGCCCTGCCTGAGGTTTCTGTGCCCGGATTAACAGCTCTTAAGCTTTGTAAAAAGTTTAGAGAGAAACAGAAAGGGCCCCTCCTTGGTGATTGTCAACCAAGGGTGCGCTTTGATCTCCTGTTGATGCTGTAGAGAACTTGATAAGCTTTTAAATTTGACAGCTCAAAGGATTTGGGAGGGGAGGGAGGGGGGGCAGGGAGGTCCTGTGATGGGCTCCAGCCTCAGCCACCCCAATTAAAGGAGCTGTTTGTGTTTTCCAGTCAATGACACTGAAAGAAGCCATCAAATCTTCCCTGGTCATCCTGAAACAAGTGATGGAGGAGAAGCTGAACGCGACCAACATCGAGGTAACTCGTGGGTTTTTGAGGTGCTGGAGGTGGAGCAGAAATCTGGGTGCTGCCTTGGGCCTTCTTGGGTTTTAAACATCCAGGTGGGAAAGCTGCTCGGTGGCTTTCAGGAGAGAAGGTTAGAGCAAGGAGTGAGTTGGTGGAGCAGGTCATAGAGTCATGGAATGGTTTGGGTTGGAAGGGACCTTGAAGACCATCTCATTCCCACCCCCTGCCCTGGGCAGGGACACCTCCCACCACACCAGGTTGCTCCAAGCCCCCTCCAACCTGCCCTTGAACCCCTCCAGGGATGGGGCAGCCACAGCTTCTCGGGGCAACCTGGGCCAGGCTCTCACCACCCTCACACCAAAGAAGTTCTTCCCCACATCTCATCTCAATCTCCCCTCTTTTGGTTTAAATCCATTCCCTCCTGTCCTAGGGCTCCCCTCCCTGATCCAGAGTCCCCTCCCCATCTCTCCTGGAGCCCCTTGAGGGACTGGAAGGGGCTCCAAGGTCTCTCCAGAGCCTTCTCTTCTCCAGGCTGACCCCCCCCAACTCTCTCAGCCCCCCCTCCCAGCAGTGGGGCTCCAGCCCCCCCAGCATCTCTGTGGCTTCATCCAGTTCCATCCCTTCTAGTGGCTGGGACATCTTCAAGGAGACCAGGTTGCTCCAAGCCCCCTCCAACCTGCCCTTGAACCCCTCCAGGGATGGGGCAGCCACAGCTTCTCGGGGCAACTTCTCCAGGACTTCCCAAGCCGACGGCTGGTTGGCAGCAGATGTTCCTGCTCTTTGAAGCTGCCCGGTCGGGGCACTTTGGAAAGGTTGGAGCTTTCTTTTGGCTCCTCGAGGTGCTCAGCTTGGCCTGTTGGTGTGGCTAATCCATGAGTGCCTACAAAAGCCATTTTGGGGGGGGTTGGTGGGGGCTGAAGCCCCTCCTGACCTTCCACCAGCCGAGTCAGCCAGCAGGAACCTGTGGTGCCAACCAGATTGCTATTTTTTTTTTTTCTTCCCTGGGGTTTAACCATTCTTTTTTTTTTTTTTTTTTTCCTCCCCTGGTACTTGTAATATTAGAAGGAATGAAAATTATCCAGCTCCTGGACTTGCTATATTCAGGCTTGGGGGGTTGCCAACAATCTCTTGGCCAGGGAGAAGCAAAGAGGTGAAGGAACCCAACCCTGCTCCTCCATCCAGCCTCCGGCGTTTCCCCGCCAGGGGGTTGAGCTCAGCCTGACCCCAGTTTTGGGGTGAGATCCCCACAAACCCTTTCCCCTTAATCCTTTATTTTTAGGCAGCAAAGGTAAAAAAAATAACCCCTTTATGGGGAGATGATGAGCGGGGCTGGAGGATGGAGTCTGCTTCTATTTCTGGAGGGTTATGAGACACTAGACCTTTCCAAATCGCGGCGTCCCGACTCCTGAGCTCCTCTCCTCCCCATTCCTTTCCTCTCCCAGCTGGGAAACCCTTTCCCAAACAGCTTAAAAAAAATCCACACCCCTTTTTCTTTTTATTAAATCCTGCTTGGTCCCCCTTCCCGATGTGATTTCCCTGCCTTCTTTTGAAGGGAAAAGGGCCGAAAGGTTGGAAATTGTGTCCAGAAATGATGCTGGTGGCTGAAAATCTGTAATCCCAGGGGGATTTCTGGAAGAGAAAGAGATTTCCCAGTCTCTCTGCTGGGAGATCTGTGGTACAGTGTGAGGGGATCGAGGGGGGGGAGCGTGTACAGTATCTCCATGCCCTATCCCCACCCCCCCCCCCCCCCTCTTTGAACAGGGGCTTAACTGTGCTTGGCACGGGGCTCCCAACGTGGCGGGGGGATCGTGGTGGGGTGAAGCACGAGGAGAATGTGCTGAGGATTAAAAAGGTCTCTCTTCACTCCCCTCCCTACTCTCAGGGCTGTAAAAAAAAATAAAAACCACCTTCCACCCGAAGGGGCAGCTTTGCTTTCGAGCTTTTTGGGAATTCCTGGTGGTTTTGGGGTTTATTCGTTGCTTCTTCCCCCTCTGGGGTGGGATTTTTCCATCCTGTAGCAGAAGAAGGGGTGAAATTTCACTGAATTTGGAGGAGTAACTCGTGGAGGAGTTTAAATCCCCTTCGTGGTGAAGGTTGGGAGCCTTAAATGGAGTTTTAAAATGCTTTTAAATGAATTGCTTCCCCGTGAGGGAGTAACTGAGCCAAGCTTCTATCTGTAGGGAGATGGGGTTGGAGAGGACGGGGAGAGGGGAGTAGTTGGTGTCTCTTTCTCTCTCTTTCTGGGCTGTGTAAGGAAAAAGTGTGGCCAGGAGGTGGAGGGAGGTCATTCTCCCCCTCTGCTCTGCACTGGGGAGGCCACAACTGGAATCCTGTGTCCAGTTCTGGGCTCCCCAGTTCAAGAGGGACAGGGAACTACTGGAGAGAGTCCAGCGTAGGGCAACAGAGATGATGGAGGGGTTGGAGCATCTCCCTGATGAGGAAAAGCATCTTCCTTCAGCCTGGAGAAGAGAAGTAAGGCTGAGAGAGCTGGGGCTCTTGAGCCTGGAGAAGAGAAGGTTGAGGGGAGACCACCTTAAATATCTAGAGGTGGGTTGAAGGAGGATGGAGCCGGACTCTTTCCAGTGGTTCCCAGTGACAGGATGAGGGGCAACGGGCACAAACTTGACCATAAGAAGTTCCATCTCAACATGAGGAGGATCTTCTTGACTTTGAGGGTCCAGAGTCCTGGCAGAGGCTGCCCAGGGAGGGTGTGGAGTCCCCTTCTCTGGAGATCTTCAAGCCCCACCTGGATGCTCCTGAGTGATGGTTGGACTGGATGGTCTCTAGAAGGTCCCTTCCAACTCTGACAATGATTCCGTGATTATTTATTTTGGATTTTGGGGTGTAGATGTGAGTGTTTGTCAGGTCCTTTGGGGTCTCGTGCCCAGAGAATTGATTTGAGGGGCCTGAGGTGGCATCTCTGAGAGGACACCACATAAACCCAGGGTGCTCAGGCTGAGCTTTTGGGATATTTCTCCTTGGGGGGTGAAAATAGACTTTTGGTCACCCCCCCTCTACCCCAAAATCAGGTCCTGCCACCACCTCACGCTGCTTTTATGGGTGAGAGAGGTCTGGGGGGAGCTCTGGGGTCTTCCAGCCCCTTCTGCAGCTCTTCTTGGCCTTCTGGCAACTCTTTGATCCCCGAAAAGTCAAGATGGGTGCTGGGGGGGGGCCTGCAAGCGACACCTGGAGCATCTTTCTGCCCCCCCCCTCCCTGTCACCCGCTTTTTGAGCATGACCCAAAGTCCTGCTCACGTTCCTCTTCCAACCTTGATGTTCTTCACGTCCTTCTGGTGCTCCTCACCCTGAGGAAACATCTCAGCTCCTCACCCACCCCCCCCGTGCCCCCCAACTCCACTCCTGGCAGAGGGACAGGGTGGAATGTCACCCCCCAGCTTCATCCCTTGGGCTTTTTCTTGGAAGAAATCCCTTTTTCTGCTCATAGGGAGCTGCAGGGTGCCCCGTGGGCCGGTTTCTTGTGGGTTTTTGGCCACCAAAATGCGTTTTTCACTCTTTTCTTGCGAACCCTGGGGAGAATTTTACCATCTTGGCTCTAATCAGGCACGTAACGAGCCAGGATTTGCCCCCCTGGGCTGGTGAGGGGAGGAGAAGAAGCTCTTTTCCCCAGAATCACATCAAAACACGGCGGGTTTGATGAAGGAACGGGTTGAAACGGGGTCTTTTTTTTTTCTCTCCCCGGAGCCTTTCTCTTGGGGGAAACTGAGTCAATGAAAAGCTATTTCTGAGCCCGGCTGCTATTTTTGGGAATCAAAGAGCACGTTCCGGGGCTGGAATGGGATCTTTGCTGGGCTGGCAGATCCGGGGAGAAGGGAACAGCTGTTGGGGGGTGTCCCCTGCCCCAAGTTGTCCCTCGGAGGCCACCCCTTTTAACCCTTTTTTGCTCCTTTTTTTTCTCTTTCCAGCTCGCCACCGTGGAGCCCGGCATGAAATTCCACATGTACACGAAAGAGGAGCTGGAAGAAGTCATCAAGGATATTTAAAAAGGAGAGAGACTCCCTCAAAAGCTCGATTTTTTTCCCCCCTCTGATCAAACCAAATCCTCCCCATTTTAATTTCCAGCAGCACCTGTACATTCTTCTTCGAAGAATTCTTCTTCGAAGGCGCCGGAGGTTGTGGTTTTTTTTGGGTGGGTTTGGTGGTTTTTTTTTACAGTTTCTGTACATAACCGATCTCTGCCATGAGAGGAAATGAGAATAAATCATTTTGTTACTCTGTCCTGGCTTCCTCGGGGCAGGGGGGGACACACAATTCAGAGCTAAAATTGGGGGGGGGGACAAAGGAGGGGCAATATCTGCAATATCTTCTGGCTGCGGTGGGGATGAGTCTCCCTCTCCTGGTGGCACCGGGGAGATTTAGGGATGGTTTCTCATCAATTTTGGGGAAAAAAAAGGAGATTTTTTTCCATCCTTTCATACCCATTGGGTGCATTTCTCCCCTCTCCTTCTCCAGGGGGGGGTTTTTGGGCCGTAACGGCTCAACCTGGAGCTCTTCCCCTGGGCTGAAATCCAGAACCAGGTTTGGGATTTGCATTTCCTTGGAAATATCTTAAAAAAATGGATAAAAGGGGGTGGGGGCAGCTCTGGGGTTGATGGTCCTACCCCTGAAATTGTGGGGGTGTTGTTTAATTTGGAGAATGCTCTCTTTTTGCCCCAAAAAACTGCTCCTCTGCTTCCCACACCTCCTTGTTTCTCCCCCTCTCTCTCTCCTCAGCCTCAAAATTAACACCTGAGAATTAACGATGGGGTTGATAAAGGCAATTAGCTGAGATTTAACGAAGTATTTTCCCTCCCGGGAAATTTGCTTCTCTCCTTTTTTGAGGAATTCAAATTTTTTCCCTCCCTCCCTCTCCCCCCACCAAAATGACATCGTTTGGTGGGGAAAGGAGCTCCCGGGGCTGTTGTTTGGGTTCAATTTGACCCCAAAATGAGCAACTTTTCCCCATGTTGCCCCGGGGGGGGGGTGTTTTATCCATTGACAAAAGTGGCAGCAAAACCCCCCGGGGCTGAGCCCAAACCCGAATCTTAATTCTTCCAGGAGGAAAAAATATCCCACCTATTAATTATTATTATTTATTATTAATTATTATTATTATTTATTATTATTCCCCCCCCCCCTTTTGCTGTTGCCAGACACAGGGAAGGGAGGGCAGGGCTGGAAAAATGGGACAATCTCCAGGTTTTTTAGGATTTGCCTTGGGCTCAGGAGCCTCCTGTGTCCCCTTTCCTGGAATATTCTAAAAAATAAAATAAATTTGGATGATGGAGCCACGTCCTGGATTGAAAACACCCCCCCACACCCCACCCCAACCCCTCCCTGGGGGTGGAGGAGGAAACACCACCAATAATTCCTTGATGGACTTTACCCTTTTGGGGAGACTTTCCCCGGAGCCTGGATTGAGGGGGGGGGGGGG